GATATATTTGCATACATCTGAAATCATCTTAGGATGAGGCACTTCAAAATATTTCTAATTAACAGCTTAATATTTTTTATTATTGAATATTTTAGTTTGACTGTTGAAGTATCTTATTTATTTATCGGATACGTGACACGTGTATATTATGACATATCTTTTTGTATGAAGATCCTTACAATATATCAAATATACGATATGGCAAATGTAACGCTACCATTCAAATCAGATGTCTAACGAGGAACATAAGTTTTCATGCGCAAGAGCCACAAATAAGAATAATTATTCTACAGCTGTATAAAATGAATTCTGTAGAAACTAAGAAAGTGGAAACGAAGTGAAAACTTCTGTATCCTCATGCAGGATTTCAAATTCCGTTTGTGAAAGATAAAGCCCAGGTGATAATTACTCATCCGAAAAAGAACATTCAATAATATGACTTTTGTTGTCATAGTAATATGTTCATATATTATTCATAAATATTTGCGAGATAAAGCTAAACGGTAGCGCATCGACTCGACATGAATCCCAGTGCCGTATACTCACAGGTCATCACCCGTCTTTTTATATACTTGGCGTCGCGCCGCTACCGCTTTTCTTAGTGCAGTTTAAATATGATCCTTATCATTTTCGTACCTTCGTACTTTACAGGCTGGGCGGCGGTAGTGGCCATGGCGCGGGTCAAGAGATATCTATTATTTCTTATAGCAACGACAACGCAAGTGGCGGAAACTGTCTAATATAGTTATGTAACTGGAAATGGTATTACTGTGCAAGAAAGGGGTCAGCAAGGTAGGAGATTGTATTTTGGTTTCTTGATTAAAATTATTAATTATTAATAATTGCTGAAAAGGTTGTATTTTTTGGATATGGTGATATTAAATTCTATTAGAATTTGATTTTTTAACGAGCAATAGCTAAACAATGTTCGCTTCTGAGTGCCGATGGAAGTGCCGCGTGTCGCAACGCGATGCGTTCTGTGACAATGAGAACATTGCGTCAAGTACGTGCCGATGTTGCAGGAGAATCCGAATCGGTGGGCGGATTCTTTTCTTATACTTGATTTGATAAGCATGTGCAATACTCGATCACATATACGGCGGACGAGTACGGCTTTCATCATCAAGGCGCTCACTCGCCATCGAAGCCAGAGGAGAGAATGGGGGACAGCGGTAGTGGAGGATATTCACATGGAGGGAACAGCGGAAGTGTGTTATATAGAGTTTTGAATTAAATATTAACAAACGTTTATAATTGTGCATATATTAATATCTTACGTATGATTTACTGCTTATCGAGTTGTCTCATTATCAGGTGGTCATGGATCTTGAATGCAATAAAGATCACAGTGGACATGGATCAGAAAGTGCGTATCAGGGACCGAATTCGTACCAAAGCGGAAGTTCAAGCGGTGGCTACCAATATTATAGACAGTGGATTAACGAGGATCATTTACGTGCACAGGCATGCATACCATTTTCCATTTATCCGTTCTATGTATACATAACGATTTATTAATTATGCAAATTTTTTATTTAGGGGCCGTTCATATATTATATAAACATATATGATTGAGGGGAAGGGGGAGGGGGGTCAGTCAAATTGTAACAAATAATTACATGGGGGAGGAGGGGGGTCGTATATATCCTTACGTAAGATTTTTCATGTCTGCTGTCATGAAAAACGAGCAATATTAACTTTACATTGAGCATAATCGAGAAAACTTTACGTAATTAGGGGGGGAAGGCAGGTTCAGAAATTCTGACATTTGCTTACATGAGGGAAGGGGGGGAGGTCGAAAATGGCCAAAATATTCTTACGTACGACACGACTTATTTATGAAATGCCCAATCTTTAATTTTTTCTTTTCTTGAAATCGTTTTTGTGTCTTTGTATTCCTGATATTCAAGTGTTTTTTGGACATTGTTATCAACATTATGAAATATATCAATCAAATACACATATTCATGGCATGATATTGTCTAATTGAGAACTTAATAACTGTAGTATATATCGTTATTTATAATGTTATTTATAATGTGTTTATTATATATTAATTTTGAGATGTATGTTGTGTCTTTGAATAAATAAATAAATAAATGGTGTATTAACACTGTGAATATATTTGTGTAAATAATTTTACATATACATATAATAAAATCTTAATTATACTATCTAATATTTTTCTTTCGTACCTACGAAATAGTCTATTACATAAAACGTATATGTTATATATACGTTTATATACATATACGTATACATATATTATTGTAATTATTTTTGTTGCATCAATTTAAAAGCAGTTTCTAATAACGACAT